ACAACATTTAATGTTTAAGTACTGAGCTAATAAAGCATGCATGTGGCACTGTTGCAATTAGCACAGTGACAACAAATGTATTTTCAGTGTAGTTGGGGTCGCAAAAAATCTCATGATGAAAAATGGGGTCATAAATGAAAAAAGTTTAAGAAGCACTGATCTAATCTATAAGACTGTGAATGTTGGACAATATCTTCACAAATGAAGAAGAGACTTGAAGTGACAGACATATGCTGAGAATACCATGAATGGAACATGTCGCTAACAAGGAAATTTTAAGGAGAATAGGGACTACAAGGAAATTACTGCTAACAATCAGAAAGAGTTAAAATTAATGAGGAAAGAGAGCTTGGAGAGTTTAAAACTCTCAGAACATATTAAAGATAAGAAAAGTGTTAGAAATAGTGAATAATATTCTTTGAGTTTCTGTCTATATTTCTGAGATGAGGTATTGTAACTATTTACATTCTTCGGTCTCTTGTCCTCATCTTTGTTGTCATATGCATGATGTTTCGGCCATTGTATGCTCTGACCTTCTTCAGGTGATTGGAATTTTGAACCGATCCATTTATTTTGTTCATGGGGGTAAATTTTTCTAGTTTCACATGCCATGCTTTTATTCAAGGTCTCAGTTGCCAGGAATTGAACTCACAACCCTTTGGGTCAAGTCACTGGATTACTTCAAGTAATGCTTTTATCCGCTGGGCTATGTGTACTTTGAATTAATGGGTAGCAAAACAAGGACAAAAGAGGGATGGTAAAGGGTCAAAAGCTTCTCAGTGCAACAAAAGACAGGAAGATATGGAGAGTCATGATCGCCAATGACCTGAAAGGACATGGCTCATAGAAGAAGTTGAAAAGTTGTTTACCTAATTTTTGTTTGTATCTTTATTTGACCTCAGTTGATATCATAACATACTGATTTTGAATTCAAAATTGTTCTTCTAGACTGGTTGCCAACCATGGCTGGAAAGCATAGTCCTTATTATTTGACTCATATCTGGGCTGGGGGAGAAGAAATAGATTTATACCTTTCCCAAGGGTATCTGTGTGAAAAAGATCTCAGCCTGTTGATTATTTTTTTAATTGGTTTCACCCCATGCAAAGCAATAAAGACACTAAGATACAAAGGGTTACTGGGTGTGGAATTAGGAACAGAAACATTAATAATGAGTAAGAGGAGAAATGAGTAATCAGGAGGACAGTAGATAGCAATTGGCATTTCATTTAAATTTTTGCAGATTTCTGTTTCACAGCTACATAATATTATATGATCCATGACCTTTTTCTTTATGCTTTTAAAATTAGGACAAAAGGGATTTTTAGAAGGGATTGGTCAGGAATTAATGAGAGTATCACTGGCAGTTATTACATATAGATATATAATACTTACTCAACATGCTGTTTAAAAAGGATTTATGGGTAGCTGCCTCCTTCACTTCTGCAGGCAATCTTGGCCGAATTGTTACAGATGAACTCTTAAGGATTCTTTTGCTTTTAGTTTCTTGACTTAAAACTTCCAACTTGATCACAATCTCATCTTTTAAGCTAAGCGAAGACAAAAAAATGAAAACAATGAAACAGTTTATTTTTTTGATTAATTTATATATCTAAATTCAATAAATTTCCTTAGTATTACATTTAAAAAAGTAAAAAAAAGAAAAAAAAAAAGATGGTCCCAGCGATGAAAATTCATTAGAACAGATGCAAGGACTTCTCACTCCTTGAGGAAACCTTTCCTAATTGATGATGTCTTCAGGGGTGTATTCACCATTCTTGGCAAATTACTGGTTGATGAGGCTATTTATCCCATATTTCAGAGGTTCCCAAATTATTTTTTTCTGGGTTGCATTTTTGGAATTAAAATTTGCTTGTACCTCACCAAATTTTATGTGATAAAAAGTACATTTAAAAAAAAAAATGATTAAAGAGAGATAACCATGGATTTGAAGTCAACATTATCATTGATAACTCTCTTCTCCAATTTGCGAACCCCAAAAAGCTCAATACAAATGTAGAAGGACGTGTACCTGTGTTTTATAGACTATGTAAAGACATTCAGTAAAGTATGCCACAAAGATCTGCTAGAGCTGCGCAGTAACCTTGACATATTCAGGAAAGACATTAGAATAATCAAGAATCTATACTGCCAACAGGAAACGAGTTTAGCAGATATACAAAAATAGAAAGGGAATGTATCTTCTCACTGGGTTTATTCAACCTTTACAGCATGACAATTCTGAGAGAATTAGAAATCCTACCAGGATTCATTATTGGTGACCACAATCTTAGCAATATAAGATAAGCAGATGACACAGTGCTGATAGGAGACGCAGAAAGGAAACTACAAAACTTCCTACAGTAGGTAGCAGAAGAAAGCAAAAAGAAAGGACTAAGCATAAACTACCAGAAGACAGAATACATAGTCATCAGTAAAAAGATGAGTCCAAAATACAAATTACAGGTTAGGGATACTAAAAGCAAGTAAAGAGACAGGAAAATTTTGTTGGAAACTAAGAAAAGAGTACTGAACTGTTACATAATATCTGTCTTCTTGTATGATAGTGAATGCTGCACAATCTCTTAAAAGATGAAGAAGAGACTCAATGCAACAGAGATGTGATTCTACGGAAGGATGCTGAGGATACCATGGACTGAATATGTGAGCAACAATGAGGTTTTGAAGAGAATGGAAATAAAAAGGAAACTCATACTTAACATCAGGAAGAGGCAGTTGAAATTCCTGGGACACGTAATGAGGAAGGAGGGCTTGGAAAATCTGATACTTACAGGTCAGATAGAGAGAGGGACAGAGAAAAGCAATGCATGACATACTTGATGGGCTTGGGCAAGTGGATAGCTGGACAGGCTTTGGGAGAAATAACAAAAAGATAAAACTTATTAAGAGCTACAAGGAATAGTAAAATGTGAAGGGCCAAGATTGCTACATACTGAAGGAACACAACACATAAAAGATGAAATTAATATATTCTTAATACTTGATATAATGCAAAAATATTACAATGATAAAATCAGTCAATATTTATTTATAACTATTTACACTGGGACTCATGCATGTAACTAAAAGTAATCCATAATAATATTGTAAACTATTTCTAAATCTTTGTTTGTTTTTCAATCATTCCGTCTCACCTGCTGTCCTCCTCTACCACGCCTATCAGGTGTGCTGCACTATTTGAGAACCACTGCTATAGTTGGAGGTTTTGAATTAAGAGTTGTCCTTCTTTTAGAACTTTTATCACCCAAGGTTATAGGACCAATTCTCTCCTACTCTTTACCCTTAGCTAGATAGAGAAGAGATGGGTTCATGCCTTTCCCAAGGATATTTACAAGCATGGGAATATAATGAACTTGACTGGAATTTAAACTCAGCTCACAGATTCCTCAATTCGAGCTGCTATCCATTACTCAACCATGTATTACATTTATGAGAAACTTATTCTTGGCTCCAAATTTTTAATAAAGACAGCAGATATAGATTTATTTGGAAGATCATCATGATAGTTCCTGTAGCCTAATTGGTAGGGCACACTTAGATTAAAAGTGGTTTCTCTGATAGAAAAATAGAATATAGGTTTGATTCCTGTTGGGGAAGAACATTTTCTTTAGTAGAATTTCTTGATCTCTAAGCTGGTTGACATAAATTTCACTGTTTAAAATAACTGATCTATGTAAATGTGTACCCACTAGTGTTTATAGTATTAAGAAACAATGTCGGATAACAAAAATTTCATTAATTGCTTAAAAATGACTTTGTTTACATATCGGGTATGAAAATAAAGTTAGCAGATATAGATTTGGAAATTTCCCAATGAGAGTTGTGCATTTCTTAAATAGGGTAATTGAAACTTGCTATAACATGATTGCCTAATTGGTAAGGCACATTTAGCATAAAAGAGGTTTTCCTTATGGAAAAAAAGGAATACATATTCTATTCCTGTCAGGAATTCTCAATCTCTATTTTCGTTGAAATAAATTTCATTGTTTAAAATAACAGTGAAGTCTACTCAAACACATTTACTCACTAGAGATCCTTGATAAAATCCAAAGTAGAATATGAAATGTTATTGGTTTCTGATCTGGTATCTCAATTTCAGTCACTTTCTCACAACATAGCTTCCCTACACCTTTTTTATAAATACTTTCCTCTATGGTATATTGTATATATAGGAACTTGTTAGGACTTCATAGAGACTTTGAGGTATTATGGTGACTGTAGTAAGAATGGTAACTAAGGATATGTTGTTTTGGTGTAATGAGTACTGTAGTATGTTTGGGTCAGTAATCATGGCTAGCTAAGTTTAAGATTTGTCATTATCATCCTTCATTAATCTTCTTAGGATGGGTAGATCAAAAGTTCATTTTAATCCCCACACCATAATAAATGTAAGAAATCAAAACGGAGTATTGCTGTAAAATATGAGGGTTGTTCAAAAAGTTCTAAGCCTGTGTTGTCCCTGCCCCACTTGAATTCTGCAGCCTACTTCTTCACAGTTGTATAGGAAAGGGAGTCCTCAGCAAATGTCTGTACCATGTCCTCATGGATTTCCTTGAGTGTCATAACTTTCTTTTGCAGATATGTTATGACTGCTTGAGTCTCTGTTTTGTTCATTTTTAGATTTGTTACACACCTCTCACCTTTGTATGGGCCACACCTCCACAGAAATTAAGAGAAATCTGAACTAGTTTTTCTAGTTTTATAAGAAAAGGTAATGTGTTGCCACAACAAAAATTTTCAGACATGGCTCTTCTTTCTGGGTGAGGCTTAGAACGTCTTGAACTACCATTATATGTATGCACTTCTATCTGTTGTTTTTATGGATATTCAGGATTCTTGAAAGGGTTAAATAGTATTAACATTCCTAATTAATATCTTTTATGCTAATCTTAATTTGCCTTGTTTGTACCTGTTAGCATAATTAAAATAAAATGAAGGGCCTTTTTTTTAAGCGTAGTGCAAAATTTTTAAATTTTTGTACTTACTTTGGATCTGAAATGATTTCAGCTTCAACATTGTCAAATCCAAGTGTATGGGCTGCCAGAGCTGTGACTATCATTGGCCTGATATGAAGTGGGGCTAGTGGATATAAGCTTCGTACATTTCCTGGTATTAAATAAAAAAAAAATTATAAATATTTCATCATCATCATCATAGAAAAGATTTAGAGGTGCATCTGAAATAAGAATTCCAATAAAGATCTGTAAAAAAAATTTTGATACATATAATATTAATATTAATAATATATTATGGTCATGACATTTAGATGTGTACATGAAATGAGCTTTCGAGTAAAAGTCTTTAAAAAAATGTAAATACTTCTGAGACACAGTAATATATAATAATTATATTAAACAAAAAACTTGCTCCGATGTCCCATATTTGCCATATTATGCTAACAAATACAACCACACAAAGAAATCAGATCATTTTTTTTTATTGGGGTGTACACAATTGTAAACCAATCTCTATTATTATTTCTATATAAAATAGTTGAAAAAACAAATGTCTCATTATTTTATGCCACAATTAATAATCTTTTCATTTGATTTTCTTTCCAGCTTTTGTAGCAAACATTCAAACAAGCATAGAAAAAATGTGGTCATTATTATCAGATCCCACACTATTAGTAATCTTTTCATTTCTTTTCCTCTTTTGATCTTTTCTGATTTTGTAACAAACATTGAAACTAAAAATGAGGTCATTATTATCAAGGTGAACATGAATGTACACCTACAACAATAATTTGGGCATGCTAAAACATTCTCAACCCAACACACTTGCCAAAATCTGTCCAAATGAATAAACAGCACTTATTTTTGGAAGAGCTTCTTGATCAGGCTGAGAACTTTTCAATAACTCTATATATTATGTGTGCATGCATGCAAACACACACACAAACACACACACACACACCTATACATTATGAAAAAAAATTTTATACATCAAGAAGAGTTTTGGAGGAAAGATGTATGACAAAGTAGAAAAACTTTTCATGTGACATGTTTCGTCCCTTAGGATTTCATCGGACCATGTTTATCAACATAAATAAACCTTTTCCGATTAAGTCCTAAGGGATGAACAGTGTTACACAAAAAATTTTCCACTCTGTATATATAATCGACTCTCCCATCGAGATTCAATGTATGAGGGTCAAGCAGATCAGTTTCCAGGAAAACGACAGCCCGACACCGGCACATGAGATTTGATTATAGTGGTGAAGGTTTCATGCAGGACCATCCACACTTTTTGAAGGGCCGAATACAGAGACCTGGTGCACCGAATGCCACAAGGTTCCCAAACGACCCTCTGCAAGTTTTGAATTCAGAGTTGTCCTTCTCCTAGACCAGTTGCCATCCAAGACTATAGAACCCAGTCTGTCCTGCTATTTTACCCATAGTTGGAGGGAGAGGAAGAGGATTCATACCTTTCCCAAGGGTATTAGCACGTAAGTGAATGTAATGGATTCGACTGGAATTCGAACTCGGCCCTGTATATATATATATATATATATATATATATATATATATATATATAAAATAAAATATATTAATATATAATATATACAAGTAAGTTAAAACAAGGGGAGGAAGAGCAAGAGATTAACAACAACTGTACATGTTTAGAAAAACAGGAGTCAAAATTTCTACAACTGAAAGAAAAAGGGAAAGAGAGAAAAGGTTAAGGAGTGAGTGTAAAGTGAAAAAAATACACGAAAAGGATAACTAACCATGATATTCTACACATATGCACATACGTGCTGATTGGTGCATGTGTGCAAACGTCCATGCACACATGCACACACACACACATATATTATGAAAAAAATCTTGCACCATTGAAAAAAGTGCATATAAAAAAGAAAAACCATGAAGTATACACAGTCAATTGCTGATAGCCTCTGACAAGTGGACGGATTGATTCTTGAAGGCTCCGTCTACGAAACACTGGAGTTAGGATGCTGAAGGTAACACCAATCAGCTAAGTGACAAACCTTTTACTTGTATTAATTCTAAATCTTTCTCTTTCTGTCTGTCTATCTGTCTGTCTCTATCTATCTATCTCTCTCTCTATATATATATATATGTATATATATATATATATATATAGTGCAAAATGGAGCGATACATGGATGCTGAACAGATCTTGAGATATATATATATATATATATATATATATATATATATATATATATATAGGTATTTGGTCTAAATTTGACAGTTTTGTTTTTTAGGAAAACCAAGTGAATATCTAAGACAAAAATATATATATAAAACAATTGACTCAAAAAATCCATCCTCAGCATCTACCACAGCCTTGACTTGACTCCGAAATCTGGAACATGTGGCCTTCATGCTGTTCCTAGGGAAAGTGTCAAACACCTCCTTTTACCTGGGCCTTTGTGTTACAGGTAATGCGGTTGGTGTCTTTCTCAACTATGTCCTTCATAGATCTCAAAGATAATAATCTATGAGATTACAATTATGAGAGTTAAGGAGCCAGACGTTGGGGCTGGTGAAGTTGTAAAAACTAATAATCACTTCTGACTCTTTCTGGGGGTGTAGCAGGGAGCTGAATCTTGTCACTACACATATGGCCTTCTAGCATCCACCCTCTCCAACCAAGGGGTGACTACAGTGTTTAGCAACTCCATATAGACATCTAACATGAACCTGAGACCCTGTTCAAAGATTTGAGGTGTCATGATATCACCCTCATTCTCAAAGAAGACACACGCAAAAACCATCACAGTTTGGGAAAATTTCATGACACAAAGAATGTCATATTTATTGTAGGCAAGCCATCTGTTGTTCTAGGTGTTGTACAGCTGGTCCTGACAAAAGTTCTTTTCTTCAGAGAAGAACCAGATTGTCCTTGGTTGAACAGGATGTTTTATCTTGTTCAGAAGTTTCTTTGCCTTTGTCAGACGCTTTTCTCAAGACTTTTCTGTAAGAAGTTGACCTTTACACCTATTGTATGACTGGTAGCAGAGGCCTTCTTTCAAGGCGAGCTTCATGGTGGAAATTGCAACAACCATTTCCCACACCAAAGCCTTCCTTTGCCTGGGTCTCCCATCACTTTCTCCTGCAGTTGATGAATGAATTCTGCTGTAATCAGAATGTTTGATATGTTCTTTCCTACAAACCACGGCCTGGTAGTCTCTGTTGCAGCTCTCCATTTCATGTCTTATTGTATTCATGGTGTTCAAAGAACACTGAGCAGCTGTCATGATTACAGCATTTTGATATCTGGCACAAATCATCATGATACAGGTTACACTTTTTCAATATTCAAGTGGCTTCCACTCATCCATATCAGTTAACCTTGACTCTTCTAAAACTATAGTGATGAAGTTTCAAAATGCTGTTCAATGTTTACAGATATTCCAAACCAATCTGAAGAACTAAAAACATTAGACTCTGCCAAATTTATCCCAAACACCATATATATATATATATATATATATATATATATATATATAAGAGTGTTTCATTAAGATGGATTATGTATAAGGGTGTTTCATTAAGACGGATCAAAGTCAGCTGTATATAAATCAGTGTTATTAGTGAAAATTTATTTATTTCTCTATTGGATCATGTTATTTAAGTCATAGAAATTATGTGTAAAAAGTAATATCACCCAAATGTCTGCCAAATCTGAAAGAAAGAAAGAAAAAATCATTAGATGCTTAAAATTAATTCACATTTAAAATCAGTCCAAGTTATTGAAGCACCCTTTATATATATATATATATATATATATATATATATATATATATATATATTAATAGGAGTAGATAGCCTTTCCTATTTCCTGGTTCATACACCTCCCTCTTCTCTTGAACAGGAGTAGAGGCTCATCCCTTGTTTCCTGTTTAGGAAGGTGTTCCTTTCCTTTTCTCAGGCCTTATTTATGGTGTTGTCATGAATTTTTTTTTAATATGTGTGGATGGTGGTGACGTCTCTTAATACAGATGTTACCAGGTTGACAGTTTTCTGGTTGCTGTTCCTGACTGGTATTTAGGAGCCCAAACTCTTGTGCAGAGTCTTGAGAGGCTGCTCTGCTCATCAATCACATAGTATTGGGCGTTTCGCAGTTACTTGTCACACATGGAGTGTGTCCCTGCAAGAACATCTGGTGGACCACCTTGAGGTCACGCTATGTTGCATTTTGTACCAGTTCCCTTCTCACACATGTTACATTAGTCAATCGACTGCTATTAGTACCCTAGAAATTTCCTTGCCAGAATAACACACCATGACTATAAGCAACCAAAGATATAAAACTAAACCAGCTCAACAAAAAACACCTAAACCCTTTCTTTCCCCAACATTTGTGGTATTCATACCAAATTCTGCAGTGTGGAATTGTTCCTCCTTGAAAAGTCTCCAGGCATTCAAGCTCTCTGCAAAACTAGTCTTAACTCTTCAATCCCTTCCTGTGATTTCTCTGTTCCTGGCTATACTCCTCTACCTCAAGTTTAAGGCAACAGAACTCATCCTTGGGCCAGAAGCATCATACTGGCCAGAGACCTAGGATACCAAGGCAAGCATGCTCATATATATTAGAAAAAAGCCACTGGGAGAAGGGGTGGTAATGAAGGTTACACTTGAGGGTGTGTGTATCCCCTACCCCCATTTGAGTTATTGTCAGAAGCATAGTCATTTTCCTTTTTATTTCTTTTTTGATAGAGTCGAAAAATAATTACCATTGAAGAGGATAGTAGCTTCTTTCTTAACTTGATCATTTTTTTTTTTCAGGTCTCCAGTCACGCTCAGGTGTGATGGCTGTTTCTTTATGATAATTTTCAAAGACTGAATCCAGAAGATGAGAAAAACATGAAAAAAAAAAGAAAAAAATTATAAAAAAAATAAAAATTTGAAGAATAAAACACACACACACACACACACAATTTTCTTTCCATCTGTCTTGTTACAATGCATTACCAACTGCCACACAGTACTCACATCCATTGTTTGGTTTCTGTAAATGTTCAGGAAGTGTTTATGAATGCCTGTGGGTGTAAATTTTTCTGCATGATACAATTCATGGATATACCTCTCCTTTGAGTACAATTTCATGACAGGTGCCATTTTGTCAGACTGTTGTTCAGTTTCAATTTGTAACAAGGAAAAAACATGCATTATTTTTCACTGACATTGTGGACTAACATAGGAAGCATTACTTTTGGAGTGACCTTCATGTGTATGTATATATAGGTGAGTATTATTTACCTTGTCTACCTACATGGGAACATAAAAGCAAACAAACCTAGCTCACCACATAATTTCATAAATCCCTACTCTTGTATATTACTTATCCAAAACCCTAAACCAACCAATCTTTCCATAAGTACCTAGTAAATATAGTGTTATTTTCACTAATGAGTTTCTTGAAATACTGCATTACTCTGTCATAGAAACTATATAAGCATTCTTTGTTCCCACTTCCTAATATTGGATTAGCAATTTGATGCAAACTTCTATCTTGCATGATTATGTTGACATTTACATAGGCCCATGGTATAGCTATGAGTTCACTTCTTGACCCAACTTTAGCTTACACCCACACACAGACACTTATATTATGATGGAATATATATATATATATATATATATATATATGGTGGACTCTCCCGTCGTATTCAATATATGAGGGTCAAGCAGCTCAGTTCCTCGGAGCCGACAGCCAGACACCAGCACATATGATTTGATTATAGTGTTGAAGGCTTTGTGCAGAACCAACCACACTTTTTGAAGAGCCGAATACAGAGACCTGATGCACTACATGCCACAAGGTCTCCAAATGACCCTCCGCAGGTTTTGAATTCAGAGTTGTCCTCCTCCTAGACAGGTTGCCATCCAAGGCTATAGAATCCAGTCTGTCCTTCTATTTACCCATAGTTGGAGGAAGAAGAAGAGGACTAATACATTTCCCAAGGGTATTAGCATCTAAGTGAATGTAATGGATTTGACTGGAATATATATGAATAACGACCAAAAGGAAAACTTAGCTGACACGTTTTGTCCTCTGAGGGACTTTATCAATGCAAATGCAAGGATTTTATTTTGTAATTCTTGTTCTTTTATTGTTCTCGCTCCTTAATAGTGTTTTTTATCATATTCTCTAACACTCAGTAACCCTTTGCATCTTAGTTGCTTTATTCCCTTATTTGGGGTGAAATGATTAAAAAAATGACATTTGTTTTTGAGAATAAACAAGGGAGAAAGATAAATGCTGGCCTCTTATTGTTTCCATAAGTTCATGGGGATCCATTCTTCCTAAATTGTGAACTTTTCCTAAGACTTGTAAACAACATACTCATGTTAACAAATTTCACAAGCAGTAAAGAGCTGAGTAATCTTTAATGATGTTTGAAAGATTTCTTTAACTTTATACAAAAATGACACTGACAACTTTTAAATCAATTCAGACAGAAATTATTGGTAGAGACCTGATGTAATACACCAATGGAGGTAGTCAGAAAAGCTCCATCAGAGAACAAGAACAATCTATCTTTCATAGATTTGATAAAGTGTTCAGTTTAAAATTCCCTGAAGGTTATGCATATAAATAGGCATCTGAGACAGGAGAACACACCAGCCACATTATTATGATAAGTACAATAAAGATGAGGATTTTAGTCTGACAATAAATAATATAAAAAATAATAAATCCTCATCACAGAAATTCAGACAGAAATCATCTGTTTATACCATAAAATATAAATGTGGTTATTAAATGTTCATTAAATCTTTGTCAATTTTTTTTCTTTACCTGGAGAGTATCTTCATCAGCCATTTTCTTAATGTTTTCTGCTCCCCACAATATTCCAGCAGGAATGTAGATCCCATGGTCAGTAGCTGAAGATTTTAAAGATTTCTCAATTTCCGGATTTATCAAACAAACAGGATGGGCAATCTAAGAAAATATAAAAAATTTGGTAATAAATAATGAAATCTATATAAAAATATACCATATTCCTTACAGAAAAAAATAGGGATTAAGTGACAACAAAATCTGAAATAGGATGTATGGTGTTGGTCTACAATAACAGGCTGGCTCAGTGGAAGATGGACTTGTCTGTAGAGTGGTTCCAATGCCAGCCATATGTATTGCCAGCCACATGTTGGGATGAGTAGATGGATGAGGAGTTGGTAGGGGGATGATCTGACCTATGAGCAGAAGTTGTCCAGTGTCACCTACTTAACAGGTGAGCAAGGCAAAGCCCTGAAAAAACATCTATATATAAGATAGGAAACAGTAGCTCTTCATACTGCACCTCATCAAATGCTTTTGTGTAATCTATGAAATGAAAACATAGTTATAGGTGTTTCTGTATTTGTATTGCTTGCTCTGATAGCATTCTTCTTGTTACAGAGTCTTAAACAAAGCCATTCTGTTCTTGCTCTATTTCTAATGTATTCCTAGCTACAAGCTCTATTAATTAGACTCCTGTTGATATTATCACTTTTCACAATTATCTCCAATTCTACAGAATGTACACAAATAATCTTTATATATCATATTTTGCTTAAATTATTTTTATATATCATATTTTGTTTAAATTTCTTGTTCATATAACAATAATTAAGAGAGCATTTACTTTGTGTCATGTTGTTAGAGAGATTTTAAAAAAAATTCATATGACAACAAAGATGAGGACAATAGTCCAAACAATGTAAATAGTGTAAATAGTTACAATACCTCATCTCAGAAATATAAACAGAAACTCAAAGAATATTATTCACTATTTCCAACACTTTTCTTATCTTTAATATGTTCTGAGAGTTTTAAACTCTCCAAGCTCTCTTTTCTCATTAATTTTAACTCTTTCTGATTGTTAGCAGTAATTTCCTTGTAGTTCCTATTCTCCTTAAAATTTCCTTGTTAGCGACATGTTCCATTCATGGTATTCTCAGCATATGTCTGTCACTTCAAGTCTCTTCTTCATTTGTGAAGATATTGTCCAACATTCACAGTCTTATAGATTAGATCAGCACTTCTTAAACTTTTTTCATTTATGACCCCATTTTTCATCATGAGATTTTTTGCGACCCCAGGTATTAACCTACTACACTGAAAATACATTTGTTGTCACTGCGGTAATTGCAACAGTGCCACATGCATGCTTTATTAGCTCAGCACTTAAATATTAAATTTTGTATGTTTGTGAAATAACATATAAACTGTTTCAATTTAATTTTCACAACACAAGCATTTTTCTTTGTGACCCCAAATGGGGTCATGACCCATAGTTTCAGAAGCACTGGATTAGATGATACATAGCAGTTAAGCCCTCCTTTCTTAGTTCAATTGAAATTTTCCTCTATCCATATGCAGTCTGTTTGTATATTTCCAGTCCAGATTACAGATTAATCAAATATTTTCCCTGTGTAAATCAAATTTTTCTAGGCTTACAACCATATGATGTTGAAATATCAGTTCTTGTATGGTCATATAAGCAATGTTGAGCTTGGTCAGTACCTAGATGGGTGACTGCTTGGGAAGACCAGGTGGTCTAAGCTTGGATGTGTAGGTGGTGTAATGGATAATGGCTCAGAATTATTAATCAGGGAGTCGAGTTTCAATTTTCCATTGGGTTCGTTTTATTCACTTAAGTGCATATACGCCTGGAAAAGGTATGAATTCATCTCTTCTCCCTCCAGCTATGGGTTAATTAGTAATACTTGTATAACTAAACCATTATATCACAAAAAAATCTTACGACCTAAATCTATTTTATGACTTTAAATAACCTGTAATTGGTTGATAAGCCATAGAAAACAAATTAATCAATAAAGACACTTTTGCCAAAAGAGAACAGGTGAGTAAAGGAGTGATTGAAGGTTTTTGGAGATCAAGTGACAACAAAACCTGAAATAGGGTGTATGGTGTTGGTTTACATTAACAGGCTGGCTTGGTAGGAGATAGATTTGTCTGTAGAGTGGTTTCAATGCCATCCATACATATTGCCATGTTGGGATGAGTAGATGGATGAGGAGTTGGTAGGGGGTGATCTGAACTATGAGATCCATATAACAGAAATTGTCCAATGTCACCTAATTAACCATCCAAAGCCCTGAATAAAACATCTGTCTATAAGATGGGAAACAGGGTTTGCATTCTTATCTACCAATGTGACATTTATCTTTGATTGTGTTAACTTGTGAGAATGCAGTGTGCCTTGTCCCAACTTTCAGTGCATATGGATGAGATCGAGAATCAAAATGCAATGTGGGATAATCATTGGCCAGTTGGTGAAAAGTTTGGTTGATATGTCGCAGTTTGAACAACTTCAATTCAATCCATAGATTTTTTACTTAACAAATGTGTCAGCAAACAAAAAGAAAACTAGTGAAACAACACAAAAACTGTTTTTATAATAACAAACAATCTTTATTTTACTGTATGACATACAAAACAATCAAGTGTGTGATTTTTATAGAGTAAGTTTTAATTAATAGCAGGAGTTATTTACCTTTAACTTGAAATTCTTAAAGCCTTTTAAAAGAAAATATTTTTATCTGAACTCACAGAAAAGATTTCAGTTCATGAAATTCAGTCTCAATGAAGGAAATGTTCTTTGATAAAAAAAGTGTTGTAGATTGGAAAGTTCATATGAGAAGAGTTCAATGAAACTTGTTTAGTGAAAGGAAATTATAGTTTTTCCTTGAAATATCAAGAAATTGTTTGGTACTAAAAATGTAGTTTTTAGTTTTTAAACTTCTGAATAAAATTTAGCATAAATAAGTTGAAATAACTTGCCACTTAAATTGTTCACTGAAGAGAGATGAATATGAGTGAGAGAATTCTGGAAAGCTGAGAATATGTTGAATTGAAACTTATAGCTCCAAAAGATTTTGAAGTAATATTTCTCACTGGTGAATATTGATAAGAGGTGAAAGTTGTATTCTCTCTGACGGCATATTTGTTGCTGAAGAAAATATCATTGTCAGAAGTTGATCAGTTTCTGTGTAAGGAGTGAATGCGATGAGTTCAGAGATGTGCAATGTTTATACATACGTGTGTGTGTGTGTGTGTGTGTGTGTGTGTGCGTGTGTGTGTGATAGCGTTTTTATAGCACTTACCCTTAAATGGACAAACACAATTTCTCCACAGCTACATATTGTATGTGTGAGAGAAGGCAAAAGAGGAAGAGTTGAAGATGTTGCTAGTATTTATAATTTTGTATGTAACACGATAGGCTCAAAGCACATAGACAGATTTTGTTGGTAAATTAATTGTAACTGTGTGGACATAGAAGAAAGCATGATATTGGCATTAATTGACCAATCAGGAGTCAGAAAAATATCAAGCCACTGTGATCCACTTTTTTTACAGATTTTTGTCAATTGCAGAACTGTTACATAGGAAATGTATTGGAATCTTTTTTAACCAATGGAATTAGATCACAAATAAAATATTATTAAATCGAATATAGAGGAACACATTGTATGTTTACAAAAATGCACAATACAATTTTTAAAAAATTGGAGTTTCACTTCACAAAAAGTCTTTGTATCAGAATATTGTTTGTATCATTCTTATAGAAATTGGTTTTCTCATTTCAAAAATGAAAAAAACATGCATAAAGGGCAAATGTCAACTTATTTTCCACCCTAAAACTCCTTTCCCACAGACACAACTTCATAAACTTATCACTATTTCACCACTACTTCTGTGACTAATGTTTCAAAAAGCTCTATTCTTTAGTGCCACCAACTCAGTGCCTTATAACCAAAGTTTTCACAGGGTTGTTACATATTTTTAGCCATGTGCCAAAATTAGGCAATTTATCTTGGTTTAATCACCCCCCCATTCCCTCATTATTCCTTGATAAGAAGGGTATTCTACTCTGAAAGCTCCTTCACAAGATCTACTACTTTGGGGAACAGACCAATGATGCCTCTTACATTCATGTCACACACCTCATTCAGTAACCTTCTAACTTTAGTGGCTCTTGGGCCTTGTATTGTGTAGCTTGATCCCTTACCCTTTTAAGCTGGAATCAGATATGCTTTCTAACATTATTATTCTTAACATGGGAGAGAACATGACCAAAATTGTTTGTACTCCATTCCTTGTAGTTGTAGCAAAGAATATAAAGGTGAAACAAGCACAAGTAATGTTGGAGGAACATTGAAAAGCTGTAGTGATGAATCAGTCGTTCACTTTTGAACTGACTGCTTGGTTGAACTCTCTTCCTACGGATGGGAGAAACCCGAAGGAGGCTATGCTGAAGGGTGGAGTCTCCTTCGGGGAGGTAAAACCAGCCCTGAACCCGTTTATACGGATTCAATGGGCATATTTTTGGCTAAGCCCACGGGCTCGGAATGCCCACGTTAAAAAGGCCTTGTGCCACATGACACCCTCGTCGGGCGGGGGGGGGGATGACTCAATATCGTGATGAGTGAGACAATGAAATTGGGCATAACTGATCATGTAAGGAGGGAAAATGGTAGTCATCAGCTCCTGTGGAATGAAATAAGAATATTGGACAAGGAATAAAATTAGAGAGTTAGATGTTAGAAACAATCAGTGCATATGCTAGGCAATGTGGGTTTCCTGAGTAGGCATAGCATAGAAATAAATATCATATGAGAATTGCTAATAAAGAAGGAAAGACAAATGACAGGGTAATAAGCAACAGCAACATTCATCAGCAGGCAGGTTAGGTTTAAGGCTCCAAGTTCTCTGCAGTTCTCTTGTCTGATGAGATAATAACCTAATTAAGACAATGGTTTGTGAATTTGATGACAGGGCAGTGTGTACTTCAAATCAGTGTAAATGGGGTAAGCTAACTGAACAGTACTATAAATAAGAACTGGATTAAAAATCCATAGGCATAGGTAGTGAAACAAGAACAATATACACACATAAACAAAGGATTCAATTTGGAATTTCCTGTAGGTTATCCCGATTGATATGCACCTGATGAACGCCAGAGTCGAAATGTTGTGATAAAAACAATAAAGATGTGGACTATAGTCTGAATGTAAATAGTGTAAATAATAATCCTAGAAATTCATGTAGAAGTTATTATTATTATTATGTTTATGTATGATCATTACATTTTTTTGATTTAGAATCAGAGTATAATATCTGTGCTTGAACCCTGGTTATTTTGAAGATCATAGTTGAAAGGAAAGCAAGAAATCAGAAGAGAATACCAAAAGTGAAATGTAATTGTCATATAGGAAGAAAATGAGTAACTACCAACACCAAAGTTTGAGCAGGACACTCTGGACTTGTGAATATATGTTTTCTGCCAGGTGTATAAATAGCGGTGTCAGGCTACTGACTGCAGTTGATTATTGAGTGACTATTGAGTGGAAATATCCAGTTGAATTAGTGTGAATTATTGTGCATCGATGATTTGGGTTTTGATTTAGGATTTACCAGACATTAAGCCAAGCTGCACTACTAACAAGCTATTCACTGAAATGGTTTATTATCTTTGGTTGACTTTTACTTCTTTGTTCTTGTTAAGTATTTATTTGCAGTTGTAATTAAATACTGTTTTATCTTAACATTGAAGTCTTGAGCTATACTTAATTATTAACAGCCACTGTACATCACAAAAATAATCATATATTTTATTAAAATTTTTTTTGATCATTTCATCACAAGCAAGGTGATAAAGCCACTAAGACAAGAGAGGTTACAGAGAAACAATAGAGAACAGTAGAGAGAACAGTAAAAAGAACAAGAATCAAAGAGACAGAAGATAACAATAGATGTTGGATTTAAATTTTTGAAGCTCGTAGCTGACAGGAAAGCAAGCAAACAGAAGAAAGTTCCACAAGTGAGAAGTACAAGAGAATAAACTGTTAGCATAGAACTTACAGTTACATCAGGCAATTTCAACTGTAAAATGGTGAGACCTAATTGCCAATCTAGTACAGCACTTAAATTCATGAAGTTGAGGTACCAAAGACAAAAGCTCATCAGAAAAATTGCCATGAAAATACTTATAGAAAAAGCACAGGGAAATTATATTACATTGGTGGGAAAGCGATTGAAGCTGAGATGCCAGGTCAGGACTGAAAACATTGAAAATTCTTCTTTGGATTCTGTCTAGAATCCTAGGAGTACCAGACCAAATGTGGCAACAATATTCAATGCACAGATGAATAGTAAATTTAAATATCATTATATTCTTTCACACTCAGTAAACCCTTGTGTCTTTGTGGTTTTCCTGCCTTATTTAGGGAGAAATGATTAAAAAAAAAAAAAAATGAATAAATAACAATTGCAATAAAATGCAGAAAAAAAGATTAACTGAACAAAGACAGCAAAAATGTTACCATATAATCTGCTTCTTGAAGAAACAATGCACCATAATTTTTCGCTACTTCAGGCAGTGAGAGGTCAATGATTAGATCAGAATTTCTATAAAAAAATTGCAAAAATAAATTGATAAACAATATATATATTAAAATATTTCAAACAAGTTTTTTTTTATTTTAAATCATCAGAATTTCTTTTGGAAAGTAGAATAATGTGGAGTTGTTTCAACTTTTAAAATTTTATGCATTTTGTTTTCATTGTGTAGATGTCATGTGTTCATTTTATGGTGTTAATGTGCATGTATGTATGCATAAATAACATACATACTAACAACTTAAAATCAACAGAAGGCTTCTTTAACAGTATATTTTGTGACAGTATTTTATTTCACTCCCAAGCAAGGTAATAAAGACACTAAGATGCAAGGGGTTACTGAGTGTGAAAGAATAAGAAAAAGAAAAACATTATTAAGGAGTGAGAACAATAAAAGAAGAGGAATCAAGAAGACAGTAGATATCGATTGACATTGCATTTAAATCTTTGAATATTAAAGTTGACTAATAAAGCCACTAAGACAGAAGGGTTACTTAGAATAAGAAAAAAAGAAAAACATTAGTAAGGAGCGAGAAGAATAAAAGAAGAGGAATCAAGAAGACAGTAGATATCGATTGACATTGCATTTAAATCTTTGAATATTATTGACTAATAAAGCCACTAAGACAGAAGGGTTACTTAGAATAAGAAAAAAAAACATTAGTAAGGAGAAGAGAAGAATAAAAGAAGAGGAATCAAGAAGACAGTAGATATCGATTGACATTGCATTTAAATCTTTGAATATTAAAGTTGACTAATAAAGCCACTAAGACAGAAGGGGTTACTTAGAATAAGAAAAAGAAAACTTTAGCAAGGAGTGAGAAAAATAAAAGAAGAGGAATCAAGAAGACAGTAGATATCGATTGACATTGCATTTAAATCTTTGAATATTAAAGTTGACTAATAAAGCCACTAAGACAGAAGGGGTTACTTAGAATAAGAAAAAGAAAACATTAGTAAGGAGCGAGAAGAATAAAAGAAGAGGAATCAAGAAGACTGTAGATATCGATTGACATTGCATTTAAATCTTTGAATATTAAAGTTGACTAATAAAGCCACTAAGACAGAAGGGGTTACTTAGAATAAAGAAAAAGAAAAACTTTAGTAAGGGAGTTAGAAGAATAAAAGAAGAGGAATCAAGAAGACAGTATATATCGATTGACATTGCATTTAAATCTTTGAATATTAAAGTTGACTAATAAAGCCACTAAGACAGAAGGGGTTACTTAGAATAAGAAAAAGAAAACTTTAGTAAGGAGCGAGAAGAATAAAAGAAGAGGAATCAAGAAGACACTAGATATCGATTGACATTGCATTTAAATCTTTGAATATTAAAGTTGACTAATAAAGCCACTAAGACAGAAGGGGTTACTAAGAATAAGAAAAAGAAAACTTTAGTAAGGAGCGAGAAGAATAAAAGAAGAGGAATCAAGAAGACAGTAGATAACGATTGACATTGCATTTAAATTTTTGAAGATCAAAGTTGGCTAGAAAGCAAGGAGCTGGAAGAGTGTTCCACGGGTAAAAAGTGAGATAAAAGAAACTGTTAGCAAAGAATTTACGGTTACATCTAACCAATTCAACTGTAAAATGATGAGACCTTGCTGCCAATCCAGTACTGTGCTTAAATTCATAAATTCTAGGTATCATAGAGCAAAGTTCACTGGAACAATTACCATGAAAGTCTTTATAGAAAAGGCACAGGAATGTGACATTACAGTGGTGGGAAATTGACTGAAGCTGAGATGCCAGCTCAGGACCAATAACATTGCAGATTCTTCTTTGGATTTTATCAAGAATCTCTAAATATATAGCAGGAGAAGGAAACCAGATATGGCAGCAATATTTGAAGCATGGACAAATGGTTCACTTATAAATATGTAAGATACATTTTGGCAAGAAAATTTTCTAGCATGACATAGTGAAGCAACTTTCCTAGCAGCAGACCTCCCAATTAATTCAATATAATCTTTCCACTTCATGTCAACTGGGAATGTTACCCTGAAAATGTGCAACTAGTCACTCCATGCTGATGGAAGGAAGAAGGGTATTTATGCTGGAATTTTTTAAATGAAGAATTATTCAAGCCATCATGCTCATTTTGGCTAAATTGTATGGTGGACACTTGATGCAGGCCAAACATGGATACAATAACCAAGATGAACAGTGTTGTCTGAATAGAAAAGCATATAATAAAGTAGAAGTAGACAATGAGCAATATACTTTAATATACAATATACTTTAATATAAGCAACATACTTTTTACTTCTTTAACCCAAGCATAAAGAAGTAGACCTTCATCATAGTTTTAAAACTGTAAACAGATAAAACCTCAACATCAAATACATCCCAGATGGCTTTGATTTTCATTGGCTAAAAATAATTAATGTACAAAGTGGTTTAGGATTTAATATTTTGTCTGATGTCAATGCATATATGACTTACCGTGTACGGAACTGGCTGAGGTCTTTCAAAATGAATCTACTGTCAATATAGCCAATCAGAACTTTGGGATTCGGACACCAAACAAATGATAATTCCAAGTCAAACTGTTGAAGAATGTGATTAACAAGGAATTTCCCTAAAAGGACAAAAAGGTTAGCAAATTAATACTGTATGCAGAAAAAAAAATGACATGATTTCGATATCTAAGAATTATGCCCTTTTACAAATTTTTGTTTCTGTTTTTTTTTTATTTAATATATTTTTATAGTAATGTCATCTGTTTTTACCTTATTAAAATCATGTTTATTCTACTCTTCTCACTATTTAAAAGCATGATGTGTGTGTATATATATATATATATATATATATATATATATAAGGAAAAGAAGTTGAAAATGCAAATGGGGTCTTTAAGAATATTTACAGTAACTTTACTGATTTTACATTTCTATGATTTTCAGAAGTTAAGATGTATAGCTATGCTGTGGTATGTCTCACATCTAACTAAATTTTGTGAATTCTTTCTGTTTTATGCAAAAAGTGTTTCAGATTGCTATCTTGTTTAATATGCAATCACATGATCATACATAGTAATTATTGCACAAAATTGATGATAATAAAATTTTGTTGTCAAAAATTGGGAGTGTCATGGCTAATGACTACTTAATATTTTGTTGCCATTAACTTCTTTTTATATTTTTTACCAGTAGGATATATATAAAGAAAACTTACTTTCCCATATATATATATATATATATATATATATATATATATATATTCTTCATCATTTAGTGCAGCTCATGTGTCAATCGTCTGGCACACTTTGAAAGCTGACCATTGTAATGCTTCAATAATTATTGTCTACTGTTTAGATATTGGAGCAGTCCATTTATTTATGGGAAAAAATGAAATAAATTGGTCAAAAATTAATTTAATTAAAAAAGAAATAGATTACAAAAAAAGTAAATATGTACTTTTATTAACCCTGCCTCCCACCACAATATAATATATATATGCTACCATATTACATGTATAAGAATTTATATATACACATACATACCCATGTACAAAATATATAGTCTTCCATTCATCCATGCTTTGAATATTGTTGCCACATATAATCTGATGCTCCTGTTATATATTTAAAATCCAAAGAAGAATCTGTAATGTTATTGGTCCAAGGCTGGCATCTTGGCTTCAGTCACTTCTCCATTGCCATAATGTAGCTTTCCTATGTCTTTTTTATAAATACTTTCATGGTAAATGTTCTGATGAACCCTCCTCCATAGCACTAACATGCTAAATGGCTAGATGTAACAATATTATATCTAGCTATTTCCAACAGTTTATTTTCTCACACTTCTCACTTGTGAAACTCTCTTTTGGATTCTTGCTTTCTAGTCATTTTTGATCTTCAAAAATTTTTCAGGAAAATAGGTTTCTTAAGTCCAGTAGCTGTTATTGCTCTTTTCAGCATTTATGGAGATTTTCTTCCTAACCTTTTACTTGGAGCATTGTGGAAAGATTGGAGGAGCCCTGGTCTTTTATTCTTTTCAAACATGATAGTTTTAGGGGATTTCTAGTATAGTTTTCTTTAATCTGTTTTCTCATAAAATTATAGTAATGGTGTTGGATTCTTAGATGATATAACAACATGTTTACTTATCTAATGGATGAAAGCAAAGCAAATTTAATGAGCTATTGGTAATGGTAATGGTAATGATAATATTAACTGTTTCCCTACAAGGAAACATTTAGCATTCATTGACTGAGCAACCAGGACTGCTTGTTGGTTTACATTGATAAAATCTTTCTATTAATGCATTTTTTCAAGAAAGTAGGTTTCATAAATCCAGCAGACATTATTGATTTTTCCAGTATTGATGGGGGTTTCCTTCCTACCCTTTTGTTTGATATAGTGTGGAAATCCTTGATTATCTGAAGAGGCTATTTAAGAACGACTCAAAGTTTTCAGATTAATGATTTGATTTTGTAGGAAGTCTGATAGTAAAATAAAACACTGGAACATATTAAATTTGTTAATTGATGTGGATATTATATATATATATATATATATATTATTCCTCACTGGTAGCATGACTTGAAGTTTCATGCATTGTGTGCCAGTACGGTCAATATATTATATGGGGATTACAGTTTTTTTTATTTAAATATATATATGTATGTATATATATATATATATATATATATATATATATATATATATATATATTATTATATTTTATTATAAGAAATTATGATAAAAACAATTTTGAAATCACTACACAAATTGATCACCAGTTACATACCATCATCTGAAGAAGTACAATCATAGTATTGAAACATGGAAGCTTTTTGTAGTGACTTAAAAAATGTTTTTATTATAATCTCTTATAATAAAAATATAATATTAATATATTTCTCTACTTTCTATTGAGCAATCTTTAAAAGTAGATGCTATGAACTGTGGATTTTTACTCCATCTGTTCTTTGTCTCATTTGTATATATATATATATATATATATATATATATATATATATATAAATATATATATGTGTGTGTGTGTGTGTGTGTGTTATACTTAAAAGAAATAGAACTTATATTTTATGTTTTTTAAAAATGGGTATTAATGGTATTGATTTAAAAAACCTAAAACTATAAAAAAATTATTTTATTTAAAATAGACAGTATTTATATTTTATATTAAATATAAACATGGGTTACTGGTTTTTTTTAAAAAACATTGTATAAAAATAAATGGACCTAAGCCATAAAAGAAAATTTTTTTCTATTTAAAAATCTAATTTAAATACAAAAAATAATATTTTGTATTTAAGATAGGCGGAATTTATGCTTTATATTTAGAATTTAATGTGCAGTTTCATTCTTTAGAACTTCATAGAACTAAAGTTATGTTTACATTAATGAGACTACACAAAGGAGTGGGTACATTGAGAATTTTAAATTTAACTTAAAATTTAAAAAAAAATATGTTTGGGTATATAGTCTATCTGATTTCATTTAGTTTCTTTTTGTTCATATTTTTGTCACTTTTTTTTTTATTAAATATCCCACATTATGATAATAGATCTGCTAAGAAAGGTGAAAATTTGTAAGAACCTGGACGCAAATTTACTGTGGATGATCTTGTGATTAAAGAAATTTTTCTACACATTTTTGTCTTAGTAAATTGCTTTCTCTTTTAATTAGAGCAGCATTTTTAAAATTTTTAAATCAAAATGATGGTCAGACACATTACTGTTAGCAACTAATGCAGTGACTGTGTTATTTTGTAAAATATCCCTTTTGTGTTCATATAACATTTTATTTGAATTCCTTGAGGTTTCTCCTTTGTCTGTATTCCTTGTAGGAATTGTTACAGGTAGAGAGTTCTACAAGTGATGAGGGTAAGTTAATCATTTAATCTCAAGCCAGGCCATAAAGCCACTAAGACGAGAGTTAGAGAATATGAGAAGAAAAAAAACACTATTAAGGAGAGAGAACATTATTTACATTATTTGGACTATTGTCATCATCTTTGTCACCAAATAATGTAAATAATGTACATAATACCTCATCTCAGAAATATAGACAGATATTGAAGGAGAGAAAACAATAAAAAAAACAAGAATTATGAAAACAGAAGATAATGAGTGACATTACATTTAAATTTTTGAAGGTCAAAGTTAACTGGAAAGCAAGAAGCCAGAAGAGAGTTCCACAAGTGAGAAGTGTGAGTTAATCATTTAACTCCAAGCAAGGTGATAATGCCCCTAAGACACAAGAGGTTAGAGGGAGTGAAAGAGAATCAGAAGACTTTAGTGGGGAGAAGTGAGTAAAAGGACAATAAAGGAAGAGGATTCAGGAAGACAGATTGTGATCAATATTTCATTTAGATTTTTGAAGATTGTAGGTGAAGGGAAAGCCAGCAATCAGGTGGGAGTCCCACAGAAGTACAAGAAAAGAAACTATTAGAATAGAGCAACTGATTGCATCTAACTAGTTCAAAGGTAAAATGTACACATGAATTACAAACACTATTCATGCTTTGCTATTCTATAGTGAGGAATGTTTGGCTAGTATAAAGGATTTTAGTGCAGAAAGTGAAATAAATAAGCCATGTTCAAAGTCAAGTATAGTCTGTACCATTCAAATATTCACTATTACTCCATTTTGTTTTTTACTAATGTACATCCAATACAAGACCCGAGAGCCACTCAAGGTAGAGCGTGTACTGTGTAGAGTTGTGTTAGTGTAAGAAAGGTCAAGAAGTGAAGTTTATGGGCCCATGCAGGAAAAATAACAGCTAAATCTCGACTTGCTTTAATTTGTGAATAAAATTTTGTTTGGACACAGACGTTAAAAGTATAGAGTTGAAGTAGACATTAGAAGGAACTGGAAACTCAATCCTAGACAGGAAACAAGGGATAAAACCTCTACTTCTGTTCAAAAGACTGGCAAGGAGTGGGAACTGGATAATAGGCAAACTTATAGACTCCTATTGAGGAAAAAATAAATAAATAAAAAATAAATAATAAATATCATTTCAGAGTTTAAACTAAGACGTCAGATGTCTAGAGCTAAAGTAGTCTTTAGAAGAAACTGCAAACCCAATCCTAAACAGGAAACAAAGGATAAACCTCTACTTCTGTTCAAAAGACCATGAAGAAGTGTGAACCAACTGGGTAATAGGCAAACCTATCTACTCCTAGGAGGAGAGAAAAAAAAATTGGTGAATAAAATTTCAGAGTTCAGGTGCAGACATTTGGAGTATAGAGTTGAAGTAGATTTGGGAAAGGCATGAATCCATGTCTTCTCTTCCTAAATATAGGTTAAATAGCAGGGTAGCCTGGGCTTTCTAGCTTTGAGTGGCAACCAGTCTAGAAGAATTAATCCAAATTCAAAAACTACGAAGAAGTTCCACAGGAAATGACTCCAGTACATTGTCTGAGTAATTAAGGCAATTCACAGGTAAAGAAAAGAAACCTGTGCACAACCATGATTGCCTATTTTCTAAAGATTTAGTTGGTTCATTTGTTTTGTTTAGCAGCATACCAACCTCTGTAAGTTATTTAATGCTGAAATCTAAATATTTTTTCATTTTTGGAAATAATAATAGTTTTAGTGATACTAATTAACTCATAGCTGAAGAGAGAACAGTTGGATTCATACCTTTTCCAAGGGTATTTGTGCGTAAGTGAACATAATGAAAACAACTGGAAATGGAACTCTGCTCTATGATTAACAATTCTGAGCCATTATCCATTACATCCAAGCTTACAGCACCTGGTATTCCCAAGTTGCCACCCATCTTGGTACTGACTAGGCTTGACATTGCTTAACTTCAGTGATCATATGTGAACAGGTGTTTCAATATGATTTGGCTGTAAGCCATTTCTTAAAGAGGTATTACGTTAAAAATAAATTTCTAAAGAGGCTAGCATTTGAAATAAATACTGATCAACAAAATTGTTAAAAAAATATCACTTTCCTTGCAGATCAACAGTACAAAATGATTTAGTTTAAACTTTTCAGTTGATAAGTGATAAATATTCATTACTTACCTAATTTTCCATATCCAATGATACCAATTTTTCGCGGCATACTTTTGCTTTTATCAGTCAGAGACTGTAAAGTCCAACTCAAACAAAGAGGATCATGGGAGAATCAAATGCTTATAGTTTGTAATTTATCAGAGACACACAGACAGACAGCTTTTGTTTTATATGTTTGGAATTGTGTAAATCTATTATAAGTGTATATTTGAATATGCGCAACTTCATGTATTTATATATATATATATATATATATATATATATATGTATATATATATATATGTATGGAAATGAGTGTGTGTGTATGAACAAATGTTATATGTATGCATAACTTTGTGATTATATATAATGGTCTTCATATGCATATGTGAATATGTGAGATTTAATATTTGTGAATGTATGTATCAGCATGTGTAAGTGAAATTAATATGTATATATATGTGTGCATGTGTGTAACATGGATATGTGCATTCATTAGTAATAGTCAGTGTATGTTTATATGTATGCATTAATGTATTTAAGCATTTTGATATATATGTATAAGATATCTATATGTATTTTTGTTTAAATTTGTGTATTTGAATGAATTTGTGGAAAGCCATAGTCACCCACGTCCTGAATGAAGATGGCACGTAGAAGAAGAAAAAGAAGAGACAAATGAATACAACTCATTTGTGTAAATATTTTTGTGAGTGAATAATTACATTAGTGCTCATATATATATATATATAATATATATATATATATGTATGTATGTATGTATGCACATATGTATGTATGTATGTATGTATATGCATACAACTTTTGTACTATTAAAGTAAGTGTCTGCTAAAGTCATTTTTACAAATATTTATTGTACTAAAGATCATGTGATGTCATCTTTTGTTTGGTTGTTGTCACAAGACATTTTTTTCATTTCTTTCATTTATTGTTTTCAAGTTTTTGACATAAATGCAGAGGCAGAATGGATAATGGTTTGGATTGAGGGATCAGAGAGCTGAGTTTGCATTCCAGTTCATTACTTTCACTTACGTGCTAATAACCTTAAGAATGGTATGAATCTATCTCTTCCCCCCATTCTGGGTAAAACAGCAGGACAGATTGAGCCTTACAACCTTAGTTGGCAACCAGTCTAGGATAAGGACACTCTGAATTCTTGCTCAGGAAACACCACTGCCAGTGTGGCTGCAGTAGGTGTGGTGCCCCATAGACCCTAAGGAGTTATGGGACTTCATACTATGTATATATATCTCATAACAGTTTCAACAAATGGATGGAGTAACATAGTAAGGTCCTAAAAGAGAGGAAGTTGTGGAGAACCATGATCATCTATGTATTGAATATAAAAGGTGCACACACACACATATACACACAGGGTGCGATCATCATCATCATCATCATCATCATCAACCTCCAAGTAGTCCTGGTGGAACCCATCCTTCACCAGGTTAGACCATTGATGATGTCCTTTAACTTGAGAGGTTGCTTTGGTCACGGGCATGTTGCTTTTGATTCTATAGAGGGAAGCCTCTGTCCTGGCTGCTGACTTCAGTTTGGGAAGCCCTCTGCCTGGTGGTGCCATGTCATCACAGCACTGGCCGGCATCCATAGATATACAGTTCAGGCAGCCACTGTGTGACATGGCTGTTGTCCCTACAAAAGTTTTGTCCACTTTTTTTTTGTCTCTACCACCATTTTCAGAAGAAAATCTCCTGGGGGGAAATGCTTTAGTCCTCAATGACCTGACCATGTACTACTGAGTTACATGGAACTAGTAGCAATCGTAGAGTAACCTGACTTCTCTCTTTTTTTCTTTGTTATTTAGGAGTTGGCATAAAAATCCTGTGTTTTAAGTCAAAATAAAAAAAATAAAAAAGTTAGAATTCAATTAGCAGAAAATATTTGTAAAAATAACTTATCAATCACAAGTTAAATAACGTAACTTAATTGTTAAACCTTAAAATATTTATTTAATAATTCATAGATTCATAATAATAACATTTGTAGAACGTCAAACAAGAAAAGAAAAGAAGTCTGAAGCCGTTGCCATAGCGACGATACAATTTACGGCGGCCATTAGACAAGTGCCTTGTTTTTCGTTTGTCTTCTCGGTCGCGTAAAAACACACATCTTGTCTGACACAGAGCGGATTGTTATTGTGTTTTGATTATTTGTGTAACCTTAAAAAACGTACGTAAATTCATTAGTTATTTCTACCGTTGTATGTTTTGTATTAAAACAAAAGCAAACATTTCTACTCCCCCCATTTTTTAATAGTAAAGAAAGCAGCGACAAAAACAATTATTTGTTTACTTTTTTTACTATTTAATTTAAATTATTTATTACTTTATTTCTTCGTGTCATTTTTACTTTTTTTATCACAACATTCTAGGCAGGTATACTTTTCGTTTCAACCACTAGACCAAACAATATAAAATTAGAAATAAAAAACTGTAGCAGTCTATGACCAGACCCGAACCCGCATCTTACATTTTTGTAGCTCATTGACGTCTCCATTTTTTAAATTCTACTATTTTTATAAACATCCAAAATTTAATTATATTTATTTATTTATTTAATTAATTACAATGTTTTTTGTGTCCGATCTAAAATTAAAATCAAAGTAATAATGTTTAGTTTACGATGCTTCTTTAAAAAATTTGTTTATCGGTTGTTATTGTTACGTACGATTCTTCATTCTTCAACAAATATTTTTTCTTTCTCAATTTCTCTATACATTTTATTATTTTTGTCACCATCATCATATTAGAATGGTTGCTGTTGTTGCTGGCGATTATTTTAATTTTAATTCATATCATTACATTAGTTATAGTAAATTGCTAATTCTTTATTTCTTTATTCTTTGTTGTCGTGTTCACCAATATTAACTTGGTGGCTTTAAAGATCAAGTGACAACAAGTCTCCATAATACTACAACTACTTACTCCAGTACCCTTTTCAATTCTTGCTGAGTTTTAGTGAAAGCTGTCACCTGGTTGATTCCTTTTCTTTAGATTTAAAATTCTTCTTTAATCTTTGTGCAAAAATCTCTTTGAGACTTGCTTCCAACACTTGGATAAGTTCAATTGTTTATATATACTAAAGACTCAACTACTCATTTTTTTCCAACTTTCTTTCCAAAACAGTGTATTTAAAGTGTTGGTTCGTGAATTTGATAACATGATTATGGGATTTTTTTCTGTTAACACACCCCAAATAATGTAAAGTTACTTATCACAAATATTAATTCATCTCAAGGAATTATAAGTTTTAAGTCAAAGTTTGTTTGTTTTATATTTTTTTTTAGATTTTTGGCATTCTTTTTTTTGTTTTATGCATTTCACCCCAAGTAAGGGAGGAGTGCCACTAGCACGCAAGGGGTTACAGTAAGTGGGAGCAAGAGTAAAGAGGCATGATAGAGGAAAGGATGAAGAGAAGGACAGGGAATTAGATCAAGGCATCTGAAGATGTTGATTGACATTGCATTTGAATAATTGAAGATTATAGCTATCAGGGAAGCAAGTAATAGGAAGGGAGTTCCACACATGGGCAGTGTGAGACATGAAACTATTGGAGTAGAAGAGACGGCTACATTTAACCATCTTGACAGTGAAAAGGTGTGATTGATATGCCAACCTAGTAGCATGCTTAAATTCATGTAATTTGGGAACCAGGAAAGTAGCTTGTTGGAGCAGTTACTGTGAAAGTATTTGTAAAAAAAGACAGAGGGAAGCGATGACACATCTGTGAGAAAGTGGCTGTAGACGAGATGCCAGATCAGGACCCATTACATTGCATATCTGTCTGGATTTTGTCAAGAATCTCAAGACAAACAGCAGGGGGGCCCCAGACCATATATGGCAGCAGTATTCCATGCAAGGACAAATATTGATTTATAGATTTGAAGGATGGACTTGGGCAAGAAAAACTTTCTGGTGCAACACATAGAACCAATTTTCCTTGCGGTAGATGAAGCTATTGATTCAATGTATTTGTTCTATTTACATTTAAAATCAAAATTCATTTAGCTTGCCTCGCATCAATCCCAACCCTCAGAATGAAAAATTACCAAAAATCAGAGTCTTATTCACATTTTGTAAGTGCGGATGATATTTGAGTTACTTACAAGGAATTTTTACAATTTAAAAGAAAAGAATTTGTTTTTGGCTTGTTTATTGGGAGTGAGTATGGATAGAACCCCTCCACACACACACACACTTAGAAATAGTCCACCCAAGTTGCTGCCATTTGAGGCAATCGCAAAGGTTAACGCAAATGGAGTGCAATAGAAGAGTCTCAATATGGGAGAATTTGGTGTGAATTTCAGTAAATATAAATTCTTTTTATTCTGGGGTGAATTAACAGAACAGATATAGTGTAGGGACCTCCACAAAAAACATAATACAGAAGATTTAAAATTAATTTTTTAAAATGAAAAATCTTTTATTTTAGTTTTAATTTCAAGCTAATAAATTATTAAATTTAATATTTCCTATATGTAATATACTTTGCTGTATTTCAAAAAACTTATTTTCAAATTGACTGGAAATAATATTTTTTTTACTGTAATAGCTGATTAGTGCCCCTTTTCAGTCATCTTTCATCACAATGCAATTCACTTTCTGTATATAAATAAACTTTTTAGGCATTTTTTAAAAATGTTAGCATGTTCACCACTCATCACTGATTGCTCATCATTGTGAATGTAGATGAAAAATATAGACAACAAATTTAAAAATCTCTTAAAATTCCAATATGTATCCTACCTGCTTCCAAGTCTTTTAAGCAAATTTAAGAATTAATTAACTGGATTTTCTAACAGTAACATTTACTTTTTACTTAAAAGTTAATGAAAATAATGTTTATTTATGCATGGTAGTTTGTGGTGTCAAAGGATAGAAATAAAAATTGTATAATTATCTCCCTGACTTAAAAAGTGCATGAAAAAAATTAAAGAAATACATAACAATAACATCATCAAGATAAACCTTATATAAACAATAATTTAAGAACATAATTTTTTATTCTCTATGCTTTTATGAAACTTAG